CCCGGTCTCTGTTCCTCCCGCGACGCTCTCTCTCTCTCGCGTCTCCTCTTTCATCTCTCCCTCTTATTCTTGTTTATTATTCAATGGGGCCAGGAGGTGCTCGTTAATTGATGGCACCGGCCATAGCGGCCGAAAGAAGCGGCGCGGAAGAGGGCAAGAGGAAAGCGAAAGAGGAAAAGAAAAAGGGGGTGAGGAGGGGGGAGGAGGATGCGGAGGGAGGCAGAATCGGAAACGGACGAGGAAAGGAAGCGGGGGAGAGAGGGAGGCGGGGGGGGGGACCCGGCTCTCCGCGCGCGGACCACCATCGCCTTATTTATAACGCCGGTGGGGTAACCGAATTCACGATCAAAATCCCGCGTTCCGCGGCATTGATGGATCGCCGTGCGCGGCGCAACGCCGGCGACGACTCTGGTATTTTCAAATGAACCCGCCCCTTTTTCCCTCGTGATGCCTCCGCACACGGAGGAGAAGTCGAGGGATAGGGGTGGAAGCGAGCTGTGGTGCCCCCCCTGCTCCGCGCTCTTACACACACTTTCTCTCTCTCTCTCTCTCTTTCTCTTTCATCTCCCTCCCCCTTTATCCCAGATGACATCGACGAATTCCGCGGGGCAACCTGCTGCCGCGGAGATGCCTCGGGGATTCGATTTCTATATGCAGGTGCTCGTTCATTCGTTGGATCGATCGATAGATAGGGAAGAACCGCAAGATCGGGACATGTCCTTCTTCTCCTCCCCCCCTGTATACATTTGTACTCGAAAAGCAAAAGATCATGAGGCCTGATTTACAAGATACTTTTGTTTTTTTTACTAACAACTGACGTGCTATTATAGTCTTCTGACAAAAAAAAATATTGTATAATTTCTATTTTTATAAAATTATATACATATATATATATATATATTTTTTTTTAGAGAAAAGTATATAATTTATAGAATGTATGTTGTTAGAAAATTAGCGACTGAAGAAATATTTGTAGACCTAAATATGCTAGTAAAAAAGCAACGAGTAAATCAATCCGAAGAAATAAGTGATATATATACAAATTTGGATAAATTTAATTCGATTGGAATTCTGTATTAACAAATTTAAGTATGAATCCAAGGTGCTCGACCGGTTTTTATCTCTCGAAAGACGCAAATCATCTGTACATCAAATTGGAGCGTCTTTTCACTTAGACACGAACTTACCCTCTGTTACATTGATGACTTCCAAATAATCATACGTCTTTCAGTTAGAGGGAATCACTTTTGATACTTACGTTATTGATTGCGCGACGCGATACACGGATAGGATCCGATAATCTTCGGCTTTTTCCGCCCCTTCTATACCTTTTCGAGCATATTGCTTTCCGATAAAATTGCACGGACGGAATGTAAACGGGGACACGCGGCGATTATGCGCCTTGTAACGAGCCTAATTAAGCCCGTGCTCGAGCTCGTAAAGTTTCATGGCGAAATGAAGATGCATTATCGGCCAGTAATATGCAGTAAAAGCGCTTAATGATAACGCTGGTAGCACGGCCTTCGTCGAGCGGGCTTATATCGCATCAACTTGTACACGACTTGTTATACACGTTAATTCTCTCACAAGCTTGAAATCTATAAATACCGCGAACAGATTTAGCAATTATTTCAAAGAGCCTCTTTCTGAAACACATTGTCGATCTGATCAAACTAGATCATATAGAATTTACTCTTTTCCAAGACTTTAATCCTTTAACAAAACACATGATGATATAAGGATTACTTTAAAATTACAGAAATAATTTTAATTTGACACATTCTATTTAAACGGCAAGAACATTGATTTAGGATTTTTAATCTATTGACATTATTTATTATCAAAAATTATCACGAAATTACGTATCTATTATTCTTGTTATCTTTGTGTTTAGATTTTAATTATACACGGAAAGAATTTCCTTTTAAAATTGATCCTCAAAATCATGTTAATTATCGGACAACATAGTATTTCGACAAATTTTATGTGATTCTCTGTTTTTTTTATTGTGCACTACAATAAATTTGTTGTAATATATATTAAAGTTTTAGTAATTTTTAATATACTAAATTTAATTAAATTTTACTAAAATGTTCAGTATACTAAAAAAATAATAGTGGAAATCACATACAAAATTCGTCGAAAACTATGTTGCCTCACGATTAACAGGATTTTCAGGATTTTGAAATTTTGAAATAAAATTCTCTCCGTGTATAAATACTTTAATTATATATAGCTTTGAAAATGCCTGAATATGAATAATTACACGAAGAAGAATTCAAAGATAAAGGAAAAATGTTAACAGCTCACTCTGAATTGCGCCGATTTTAATTCAATAATGAAAAAGTTCTCCTTTTGTACTATCGCAGACTGCTGGGCCGCGGTTCCATGCACGTGTTCTCCAGCGAGCAATTTCAAAAGCTAATGAACGCGAGCGGCTTCACGGGTCCCTGGCATTCCTTGGTGGACCTCGGGGCAGGTGATGGCGCAACCACCGCCCACGTGGCGCATCTCTTCGAGAAGGTGTACGCCACGGATATCTCACCCCCCATGAGGTGGGCCCTGGCGAAGAGAAAGTTCACGTATGTAAATTTCGTCAAGCGGCAGCGCTTCCTTTATTATCTTCCATACGATCGACACTTTTAACATGATACACATGACTAAAAAAAAAAATGATGTATCAACAACATTAGTCTCTATTTCTACTTGAAAATAATTTGGTTTGGCATTAGCCTACTTGGAACTAATCTTGCTACGACGTGCTCTTGTTTAAATAAAATCTATTTGCCTCAATATTGAACTCACAAGATCATTTCCAATTAGATCTGACGCTGTTAATGCATCATCATTTTTTTCCCCTGTACAAATTTTCACGAATATAATAGAGAATTTTAATCCATTTTAATTTCTAAAATGCCAAGACTGCAATGGTTTCAAAAGCTCGTCCGATTTCTGCAAGTATATATTTTCTCTTTACTATTTTTAGCGAGCATCTGGAATTCATATATACATGTATATAAAATGCACGACGTGTAACTTAATTCGCCTAAAATCAGCATATTCGTAATCGGAAAACGAGAATATTTCCGAAATCAAGCGTTTATTGCGGTCATTGTGTGCGCTTATGCAAAGGCGATCTCGAGCTGAATATTCCGACCGCGGAATCCTCCGCGCTGGGCGGGGAAATTTTTCAAACGGCAGAGAGCTCCCTTGCGAGGAGAGCGCGACGGAGTCTCGCGTATGCGAGAACGCGAAACAGATTACATTCTTTGAATCGAATACGTGCGGCCAAAGGTGGGCGGTTGGAATCTTCGCTCCTTGAAACGTGCATGTGCATTTACATTTTCTCGTAACCGAACGACGCACACGCTCCGTAGATTCGCGCGCGCGCACGGTATAACGTATTTTATCCTCATCACCAGCTTAAAGCGCCGCATTCACGACCTTCCCCCTTTGACATTTGCGCAATCCCGTGGAAATTATTTACTTAAAGTCTTTATACCTCCACTCTCATGGATTATCGAGCGATCTTCGATTGTTTAGGAATTTCCGTCGTGAAAAAGAAAATCTCCCGACATCCATTTTTCCGCGCGACTTTTCCTCCTCGTTTCAGTGGCGGATACAGGGAGGGGGGTGGAGGGGGCGATTGCTCCTCCACCCCCGAACTCTCCAAACAAATTTCGTTTATTGGAAAAAGTCGGTTTAAAATGAATTGAGGAAAAAAATTATCAGCGATTATTCGAGACTAAATAATGTTTAGTTAATTTTTTTTTAATAATAAAAAATATTAAAAATAATATTAACGACAATAATAACTAGATATCCACATTTCGTCATACTGCTCCCCCCCCCCCTCCCAGAACAACTCTCTGGATCCGCCTCGTTTTATCGGATCAACCGGATAATTGTCTCCTGCAGTTAATATCTATGAAGACGGCGATTAAATTCGTTAGACACGCCGAGAAAAAGGAAGGTATCGAATTTATGCAAATCAAGACGTGGCCGCGAATCCGATCAATAAGAGATCGGCCGAAGAGAGAGAGAAAGAGAGAGTACGCGGCGGTTCGCGGTTACTCGATACGGATCCCCCGATAATATATAAGCGCGCGCGTAATTATGCGCGCCGTTCCCGGGCGAATTGAGGGGGCCACATCATCGCGAGCGGTGTTATTACGGTTATCTCAAAAACGTGGGCTTCATTATAAAGTGAGATAAGATAATTGATCGGCCGGGGGGCCGGCCAGAATCCCGGTCGCGCGTCGTTCGCGCCGGCCGGCCGGGGCCGGGCCCGGTGGTGGCCGCGCCGCGGACGACGCGTAAAGCGGCACTTGTCGACGCTCGTGTCGATACGTAATATTCTCAACACGATGCGCCACTAACAAGTTTATTGCGCCGAATTGATTGGAGTAGAAGTTTACGGTGATTTTACACACGTCGAGAGAGAGAAAGAGTGTGAGAGCGGGGGAGGGGGGAGGGAGATCGGAGCGCGGACGCCACACTATCGGAACGCCCGTCGCCGCCCCGATGAGTACGCCGCTTCTCTTTCTTTCTTTCTCTCTCTCTCTCTCTCTCTCTCTCTCTCTCTCTCTCTCTCTCTCTTTCTGAGCGCCGGGGTCGCCACTCGAATTTTAAATGAGCGTCCGTGGGGCGCGACGAACCCCGTAACTCGTTTTATACAACTCCCGACGATCTCTACGGGTACCGATCCCGCGCCGTATCCACTCCGCGGTAAAATTAGCCGATGTTCCCATAGTTTCTGTTCCTCGACCTGGCGTTTCTAAAAAAATAAAAAAAAAAAATTGTTTTTTTGCCAAGGAGAGAAATTTCAATTACGGCTTTCGCCACGTGCGGACTTGTGAACTCTCGCGACGTTTTGTAAAACTCGAATTGTCACCGAAATTCTTCTTCTGAGAGAAACTTATTGATTTTTTTAAATAAATATAATGCATAACATGGATTGGCAATGGGAAAATGATTCTAAAAAACGGACCGAGATCTGTTAACGGGTCTCACCACCCCTGAGGTTTTAAAATGATACCTTAAGTTTGGAATATTTTGTGGGTAAATGGATAAGTTTATTTAAAATCTGCTTAGAGGACATTATTGTACGTATATAAGAAACCAAACAAATATTTTTTTATTTTTCTTATATCCAAAACGGCGGCGCACTGGCCTACACTTGCGGAATCCTTTTTTTTTCTTTCGATGTACAGGATTCCAGGCACACGGTTTGGCCTTGAACAAAACATAAAGAATTTTCATTATCAACATGTTAAAGACTAGAGACGTACGTAGGGATTTTTCAAAATATTGATTTTTCTCAAAATGGCAGCTATTTACGAAAGACTTGTATTGAACAAAATACGAACTTTCGTAAAATAGCTGCCATTTCGAGAAAAATCTATATTAAACAAAAATCCCTACGTACGTCTCTAGTCTTTAATATGTAGATAATGAAAATTTTTTGTGTTTTGTTCAAGAGCAAACCGTGTGCCTGGAATCCTGTACACCGATTTGAAAAAACAGAAAAAATGGATTCGCAAGTAGGCCATTGCGCCGCCATATTATGCATAAAAAAAAATATAAAAATATTTTTTTGGATTCTTATATATGTATTATGTACAACAATGTCATCTAAACAGCTTTTAAATAAAGTTATCTATTTACCCACAAAAAAATCCTAAACTTAGGTATCATTTTAAGGGGTAAAGGGACCCCTTAAGTTCATTTATCAAATTAAAGTCAAGTTGATTAAAAAGTTAATTTTGAATTGTCACTAACGCAAAGAATCTTTAATGCGCGAATCTCTATCATCAAACATTTTTTATATCTTTTTTTACATTTACATTTAATATAAAGGAAAAAATTATATATATTATATTAATTGTTTTAAAAATTATATCCTAATTAGATAATTAAAATTATATATATCATTAGCTAACACTAGTTTTAATTCATGAGAATAATCTTATTCTCGTTTAATAACAGTATTATAATAAAACAAATAACATTTTGTTAGAATAAGAGCATAACGTTTTTATTTCATTGTTATTATATTGAATGTTATTATTGAATTGATGAGATTATTTTCCATTACACACTGTTGTTAACTAAATTGATGCAATGTGTTTTTCTTTTCATGTACATTTTCTCTTAAAAACAAAAGTAAAATAAAAAAGAATGTAGAACGTGTTATAGAACGCTAGAAGAACTTCAAATATATCCGAATAATGTAGCATAATAAGATATACAGAAAACGTGCCGTTTAGCTGTTCATTTACTTCGCAGAGTACTCGACGTGGAGAGGTGGCACCAGGAAGCCGGCCCTTACAACGTCATCCTCTGCCTAAACCTCCTCGATCGTTGCGACCGTCCGAACACGCTGCTGAGGCTACTGAGGACCTCGCTGGCTCCCGGCGGCAGGCTGATCGTCGCCCTGGTGCTGCCGTTCAGCCCGTACGTCGAGGTCGGCGAGCGGGGTAATCACAAACCGTCGGAGTACCTGCCGGTGCGAGGGAACGGCCTCGAGATACAGATAGCGGGTCTGATCGACCGGGTCTTCGCCCCGGTGGGTCTGCGATGCCTCGTCTGGAGCAAACTGCCGTACCTGTGCGAGGGCGATCTGGGACAGTCGTACTACTTCCTGGACGACGTGATCTTCGTGCTGGAGGCGCAGCCAGTTAGTACACGTTCCTGCGAGTTCGCCGACGTAAACGACGGTGTTTCGCTGCGGAGGAACTTTTAACTCGCTGGGGAGAGAACTCGCGACGCCGCGAGCGGCCGGGACCGGTGTACAGTGTATTTACGGGGAAGGTGACGGGATGCCTAACGGAGGGGGGAGGGGAGGGGGATGCCTAACTATAGAGGGAAGGGGAAAAGAAGAGAGACGAGATGACGTGTCTTTCACACTTGTAAAAACTTTAATAATTGCTGTCATGAGTTAGAATTATGCGAGAATACAGAAGAGCAATACTGGCAAGCGACGACGAGCTTAATGTGCAGACACAGCGGTTAGCGTTTTTTGGTGTACGAATATCGATTTAGCGATCCGAGTTTTAAAAAGGGAACGACGGATCGCGGAACGGTGCGCATTTTATAATCGTTTATCATCTTACTGTCGAATTCGGTGCGGAAACATGTACACGGTCTTCTATGGTATAGATATGGCGCGCGAGAGTATAACGAGATCCGGAAACGAAATCTGTATCTTGTCCCTTTTCTGCCTTTTTCCCCCCACCCGCACCCTCCCCCCTTCCCCCTTTTCTCTTGATGTGCTCGATTCGCTCCGTTCGAGAGCACGTCCCCTTCCAGAATCAAATCTCATCTTGCTAATTATCTAAAACTAGTAGAAATTAACGGACGGTATACGAAGGAGAGTGTTAAACTAATGCACACATCACGCGGCGACACAGTTGCAGCGACTGCAGTGATAAAAATCGCAAAAACGAATTAATGGAAAACGAAACATGTTTAGACTCTTAAGGGTAATACAATCTAGAACATACAAACTATATAACGACGCTATTTCGAATTAACGAAATGTCAACAACGAACGTAAAGCGAAGAATTAAAGAGACTGCACTGCAGCGCTGCAAGTTGCTTAAAAAAAAAAAAAAAAAAAAAAAAAATGAACTAAACGCACAAACTCTCCTCGTTGTATCTCGAAAAACGATTGCGCTAATGTCGTGTTCAAATCGATAAGGTAAGATTTTATCTCGGACGCGGCTCTCCCAAACGTGTCACACATTTCGAGATTCTATATTTTTGGTATATATATTTGATCGACTCTCTTTTCTCCCGTCTCTCAGACTCTGTTTCCGCGCTCGCTTTTCTCTATTTGGCATATGTTGCAACGACTTAGTCATGGATATGCTTAAAAATTGCATTTGATCACGCGGACCCCGACCGATCGGAGAAATTCAAACGACGTTGCGTTTGCATTTTCTCTTTTTTTTTAATAATAATAATAATACGTAATATTATAAGAAATAAGTCCACCTAGTTATTGGAAATACACTTTGGTGTGCAACAAGTTATCGTCGAATTATGAACCATATTGCAGCAGCCTTCTTGTCAATATATATATAATATATATTATATATGTATGTCAACAAAAATGCAGTCTATAGAAGCCGGATCAGCATTCGTTTAAACAGCTACGATATATCCGTGAAGAGAGAAAAAAAAACAAATAAACAACTGTCGAGAATTATTCCTCAGACTTGTTAATTTATCATCACATCTCCGCATGCCTCCCATTTTCAAACGCAATAGAAACGTAGGACAAACGAAACATAATATAATGCAGGAACGAAAGAGGGAAAACGACATTTGAAGGAGAGCGATAATTTGTCGAGAAATGAAAAAAAAAAGGAAAAGAACGAGAACCGAAAGAAAGGAAATTCGCGCACGGTCCTTCAAATCACACGTGGATCCGACTCCTAATTGGTAATCGATCGGCACATTCGCTGCATGAGAGTAGTTACGTGTAGTAAATGATAACAGATACATGTATAGAAAGACATCTTCAACATACGCGCATTCATATAAAATTTTGCTATTTGATAGCCAAAAACGTTTCGCATTCTCGCAGATATACGTGCACATGCACACGCACGCATACACACAGCCCACGAAAAAAAAAAACAGAGCCCACGCATTCTCGAGTGCCCCGCGCGCGCGCGATTACATACACGGCATTTATCGCTTACATCCAAAGACGACGACGACGCGGAGCGCCTTGTGTAACTTTACACTATCCGAGAAAGAAGGAGAAAAACATTTCATTATCATACCGCTTACATTGCGCGTATAACAACCGAGTAGGAAACGGTTTTTACTCCCGCAACTCCCGTTTACGATATGCCGTTTTATACTTCGAGGAAGCGCGTTTTTCTTCTCGATCTTTTTCGAGATCACACAAACGCGGGGATCCTCTGATTCGCAAGTTTTTCCCTCTCTCGCGAGAGTAAAAACGTTTCTGCGCGTAATAATACTTAGTGCACGATGAAGTCTTTGAGCGTCAGTGCAAATCACACTCCCCTCGCCCTCCCCCTCCCCCGCCCCTCTGAGAGCCCTCTCCTAATGACATAACAATTTCGTTCTTTTTCCCTTTCTACGTTATAATATATTAGGAAATAATTTGCTTTCTTAAAAAATACCTATATGAATTGACCAATGATTCCCTTTTCACGTGCACACCGCATATACGTACTGCCCATGGAGCTTATTACAAATCCTTTTTTTTTTTTAACACTTGTAACGCATGCCTGTCGCAGCGAAACGGCACTAGAAGTAACAATGATATATGTTCCTCTCCTTAAAAATAAATAATAACGCATAAAATATATAAATCTTTTTAAAGGAAATGTGCATATACGGCCACACGGTTCACTCGATGCTGCAAACGCTTCCCTCGAAACATCTCTTGTTCGGCCAATCAAAGAAATGAGATTCTTTCTTCCGACTGGTCCGTTCGAATGCTTCGAAACGTTCGTGGCATTGAATGAACTGCACGCCCTATACAACATATACAATTTATATATGTACACGTATACACGCGTACATATAAATTGCACACATAAATTGAACACATACAATTATTTCTCGCTAATCGAATAACTCGGTCCACGTTTAATTCAAAGTTCTACTTTAAGGAATATACTATATACTCAACAAACAAGTTAAAACATGTGAAACAAAGTAACACGAGTTCAATAATCGAGAAAGTTGTCAACCTTGCCCTCCTAGGCAATCAATTAATAGCAAAAAGCTTTTGTACCAAATCAATTTAGTCTTTGCTTCTCATTTTGACTTAAGCTTTACACATCTCTCCCTCTCTCTCTACATAACAGTTTTATACAGAATTTATATAGAAAAGCCTTACATATTATTAATCAGGTAGTAATTATTGGAACACAAACGGCAAATTATTAAATCGACAAACAGTAAATATAAATGCTATTCGTATCGAATATTATTTATGCAATTTATACACATATAATCGTAACTCAGTCGTTGGGCTTTCGGTAATCGTGTGTGGGGATTAATCGATAGATTATTTGCCGAATAAGCCCCATAGGCAGGTCGAGAGACAATGACAATACGAAATCAGCGTATTACAGCGATGAAATAAAGCTAGTACGAATCCCTAAGATGACGCGGTGTGTGAGTTTAGTCCTACATATAAATCTTTTTTTTTTCTTCTTTGTTTCTCGCTACCCACGTTTATCACAGTCCACGCATGACTCATTTTGTCTCTTAGTATTTGAAGTCCTAAACGCCAACAACTTTTTTTTGAGCAATCCATCGGGTTGTTTAGATACGAAACACCCAGCTAATCAATAAACATCTTGTGACTAGAACATCATAGAGCGCAAAAAGACGAAACTTGGTCTGTCGCGAGTAAAGCGAAGACGACGGTTAGTCTAACTTACGCTGCTCGCATAATTCTTCCATCGCGCCAGCTTTTCTGTAAAAAAAAAAAAAAAATACTATAAAAGAATATATATGATAGTAGAAATGATAGTATAACAGTAGAAATATATGTTAATAATAAAATTAGGGCGCGTTTACATGAGCCACTTCATGGCGCTACGGAAAAGCGTTACGAATCCGAAAAAAGATTTCCGAATCGTGCCAAGAAATAAAAGTGGCTCGTCTGAACGAGTCCGTAGCGTTTCTCTACGAAGTATACCACAGTGTGTGAACGGATTGATACTTTTTTTTTGTGGCACTAGTGGTCCGTGTGAACATGCCCTTAAAAAGACATTTTTTATACCACTTTTAAGAGTTTTAAAACGATATCTAAAGTTAAGGATTTTTTTGTGGGTAAATGAATAACCTTATTTAAAATCTGCTTAGAGGACATTATTGTACATATATAAAAAAGTAAAAAAAATGTTTTTTTATTTTTCTTGTATTCAAAATGGCGGCGCACTGGCCTACACTTGCGAAATCCCTTTTTTTTCTATCGGTGTACAGGATTCCAGGTACACAATTTGACCTTGAACAATACACAAAGAATTTTCATTATCTACATATTAGAGAACTAATGAAGTACGTAGGGGTTTTTCAAAATATTGATTTTTCTCAAAACGGCAGCTATTTGAAGAAAGACTTGTACTGGCGAAAAATACACATTTTTCCTAAAATAGCTGCCATTTTAAGAAATATCAATATTTTGAAAAAACCTCCCTACGTACTTCATTAGTCTTTAATATGTAGATGATGAAAATTCTTTATATTTTGTTCAAAGTCAAACCATATGCCTGGAATCTTGTTACACCGATTTGAAGCGACAGAAAAAAAAGGGATTCCGCAAGTAGGCCAGTGCGTCGCCATTTTAGACATAAAAAAAATAAAATATTTTTTATTTTCTTATATATATACAATAATGTTCTCTAAATACATTTTTAATAAAGTTATCTATTTATCCAGAAAAAAAATTCCAATCTTAGGCATCTTTTAAGACCTCAAAGATGGTCTAACCCCTTAAGCATCTACAATGAGACTTAAAACTTAAGATTCAAGAAAATTGTCCAATCACAATCGATTATTCTTCTCACGTGAGATGAATAATCGACTATAATTAGTTAATTTTCTTAAATCTTAAGTTTTAAGTCTCATTGTAGACAACGCTTTAAAGATAGTAGTCAGAAGATTAAATAAAGTTACTTACAACGATGACAGGTAGGGGGTACCGGTGTGATCTAATCGATGTTTATCTTCATTTTTCCAGCTCGAGACCGGTATATGCGGAGGCGGCAAGAAGCTTCTCAACGATTGTACAAGCTGTATTGTATCGACCAGTGCTGCAAATGGGAATGAGCAACGTGAAAATCATTGCGCGCTACTTTGAGAAAGAATGCATCGATGCTAAAATTTCACAGCACAATAAATTCATATGGAAAGAAAAAGGAAAAAAAAACGAAAGACAGTTGATAAAATTGAGAGTCGTTACTTTTTTGCAGAGCCTCGGATTGTTTGCCGTACGGCTTGCACATTGCTGGCCGTACGCAAGCTTTCATCCTTGCCATGTTCTTCATCACTTCTGCGAAAGCACGCACAATCTTCTCTTGGCCACCTGAGACAGCAAGATACATTAGAATGATTTTAAAAACGTTAAAAAAATATATATACTTAAGAAGCATGTTTTTTGATTCTGATCCCTCGATTTACGCGGACTATTCGTTTCACGTGGTTTTGTTTTTACGCGATTGAGAATTGCGTGAATGGAGTTAGCTAATACAAAAAATATATATATATTTGTAAGAAGAAAGCCTGTGTGCGTTACAAAAATATTTTATATATTTGCGCAGAAACAATAGTAATGAAAGTAAACGATGGGATTATTTCAGAGTGGGTACTACCGGGAAAACCTGGAATTCTCAGGGAATTTCATTTTTATCCTTGAAAATCATGGATTCTTATGGAATTTTACTTGGTACTCAGGGAAATTTTTTGAACTTTACTTTTAAATTTAATTTTATCCCTTTAGAAAGTAAACGTGGCCTCATATCGAAGGCCCCTGATATTAAAAGTTAATTTATTTAAAAATTGACATATACTATATAAAGACTCTTTAATCTAAAAAAACGATAATCCGGAAATAATAAATCAGGCATTAAGAGTCTAATAACGTAGAACTTGGTGCGTGAAACAATTTAATCTTCACATATGTAGTTACATCTCCATACAAAATCTTTCGTTACGTTCGAAAAATTTTATATGGAGATGTAACTATTGTACATATAAGACGATTAAATTGTTTCACGCATCAAGTTCCATAAGTTAAATTAAAACTTTTAGTGTATAATTTATTTTAAAGCTACATTGAGAAATTCTTTAATCTTACCTGGAATTTTGAATAAAATTCCTGGGAAACCCGGGAATTTTCAGTGAATTCTTTTACAAAATTTGAGTACCCATCCTGTATTTATCGCGTAAGAAAACCGCGTAAATCGAGAGATGCGTGTATTCTTATTTATATTTCTTAATTTGTCGCGCATATATTGCAAGTTCTGAATCACCTTCCGAATTTGAAGACGATGACCGGGATCCCTTTTCACCCTCTAAAGGCCATGCGCCGTTGTGCAGCGCCAACAGGTCCTTATTGGCGTTTCCTAATCCTTGTAGGTTTCCTAAACCGAGGGAAGTGAGATTGTCCAAGTTATCCAGATTGCTGCGTAGAAAGTCCGTCAGCTTGTGATCGGAGATCGGTATATTAGGTATCAGAGATTCGTAATGTTGCTTGCCGGATGGCACTTTCTTCTCCTGCGACACAGGCCGATGCGGAATATTTAACGACGGACGGCTTGGGGGACGTTGAAGATTCATTTGATTGCCAGCACCCCTCATCTCCGGTAAATCCGCCGCGGATCCACCTCCCATGTGTGTATTCGGATTAGCGCTGCTTAGGCTCTGCAGACAGAGAGAAGAAGAGATAAATTAGACATTTAATAAAATATTAAAATAAAGAAACTCGCGCATGTAAGGTAAACGTACCAGATGACTGAATATGTATCTACATATATCGAAACACGTACACAAAATTTATTAATCTCAAATGCTTTTTTTAATTATAATGTCAAAATTTAATTGTAAAAATATTTATAAGATTACAATTAAGGATGTTTAGTAGCTACAATAGTAGCAAAAAGTTAAAGGACTGATTTTGACGAATATGCCCTTCTCATATAGTTTGAGTAATAAGGATTGTGCAGAATGTTATCATTTATTCAGAACTAGAGCGCAGAAATGTTTTTGTTGCATTTTTCCTGAGAATTTTCGAATTCTATGGCCAAATCTAACCTAAAAATTCAAATTAAAATCCTTATAACTTTGGATTGCTTCACTGAATCGACTCCGGCTTTTGTCTTAAGTCTTTTAACATATATAAGAACAATCTGTAAAATTTTGGTTAAATTCCCATTATTTTAAAAATT